CTCCCAAGTAGTCAGTGGAACAAGCTCCCAAGTAGTCAGTGGAACAAGCTGCCACGTAGTCAGTGGAACAAGCTGCCATGTAGCCAGTGGAACAACCTGTCAAGTAGTCAGTGGAACAACCTGCCAAGTAGTCAGTGTAACAACCTATCAGGTAGTCTGTGGAACAAGCTGCCTGGTAGTCAGTCTAACAACCTATCAGGTAGTCAGTGGAACAAGCAACCAAGTAGTCAGTGGAACAACCTATCAGGTAGTCAGTGGAACAAGCAGCCAAGTAGTCAGTGGAACAAGCTGCCAAGTAGTCAGTGGAACAAGCTGCCAAGTAGTCAGTGGAATAACATGCCAAGTAGTCAGTGGAACAACATGCCAAGTAGTCAGTGGAACAAGCTGCCAAGTAGTCAGTGGAACAACATGCCAAGTAGTCAGTGGAACAACCTGCCAAGTAGTCAGTGGAACAACATGCCAAGTAGTCAGTGGAACAACCTGCCAAGTAGAGTCAGTAGGATAACCTACCAAGTAGATTCAGTGGAACAACCTGCCAAGTAGAGTCAGTGGAACAACCTGCCAAGCAGTCAGTGAAACAACCTGCCAAGTAGAATCAATGGAACAGCCTGCCAAGTAGTGTCAGTGGAACAACCTGCCAAGTTGTAGCAACCTGCCAAGTAGAGTCAGTGGAACAAACTGCGAAGCAGAGTCACTGGAACAACCTGCCAGGTAGCGTCAGTGGAAGCTGCCAAGCAGAGCCAGTAGGACAACCTGCCAAGAAGAGTCAGTGTAACAACCTGCTAAGTAGAGCCAGTGTAGCAACCTGCAAAGTAGAGTCAGTGTAGCAACCTGCCAAGTAAATTCAGTGTAGCAACCTGCCAAGTAAATTCAGTGTAGCAACCTGCCAAGTAAGTTCAGTGTAGCAACCTGCCAAGTAAATTCAGTGTAGCAACCTGCCAAATAGTCAGTGTAACAACCTGCTAAGTAGAGTCAGTGTAGCAACCTGCCAAATAGTCAGTGTAACAACAACAATGTTGGACAAGTGCGAACATTGTGAAATAGCGCACAAAATGCGTGATAAAGGAATAAAAGTAAAAGTTGGTATATGTATCTGTAGCTTCCTAACAAATGGAACACAGAGTGACGGTAAAGTCTGAGGCGGCTACAGTGAAGAGCTCTGTTCCACAAGGCACAGTTCTCTCTCCCATCCTGTTGTTCATCTTCATATCCGACATAGACAGAGATGTAAGCTATAGCTCTGTGTCTTCCTTTCCGGATGACACCCGGATTATTATGACAGTGTCCTCCATCGTAGATTCCTAACCCGACAGTTTGGAATTTAGAGACTCTCTGATCGTGGGTTCTATCCCCACCAGTGGTATGGTTTATTCCTCAAGACTCCAAGCGGACATCAATCAAATCTTTAAATGAGCCACAGAAAAAAAAAGTTCAAAGAAGAGTCAATGAAAAACTTTTGGAAATTAAAACTGTACCAGGGTATAAAACAAATTTTAACCATACAACAGAGCAAAAAATTAATGTGAAGATCTTGGGAGTTACAGTGTCAGAGGATCTCACCTTCAAAGACCATAAAAATGTATCTACCTCACTTGCTACAAAAATGATAGGATGAATAATGAGAACCTTTAACCTCCACTTGTTCTCTTTTAACTGGAATACTGCTGTACACTAACTGCCCCCTTCAAGACAGGCAAAATTGTTGACCTGGAGAATGTACAGAGAACTTTCACGTCACACATAAGTGCGATGAAACACCTAAATTACTGGGAATGGTTGAAGTCCCTTGATTTTTATTCCCTGGATTACAGGCGATAAAGATACATGATACATGAAAATCTTAGAGGATACATGAAAATCCTAGAGGAATTAGTACCAAACTTGCACACTAAAATCACTTCCTACGAAAGCAATAGACTCAGCAGGAGATGCAACATTCCCCCAATGAAAAGCAGAGGCGTCACGAGTACACTAAGAGACAACACAATAAGCATCAGGGACCCAAGACTATTCAACTGCCTCCCAGTATACATAAGGGGGATTACCATTAGACCCCTGAGTATCTTCAAGAAGGCTCTGGACAGGCACCTAAAGTCAGAACCTGATCAATCGGGTTGTGGTTTTTACGTCGGTTTACACGCGGCTAGCAGTAACAGCCTGGTTGATCAGACCCTGATCCACAACGAGGCATTGTCTCAGACCGGGCCGCGGGTTCGTTGACCCCCAAAACCCTCTCCAGGTATACTCCAGGTATAAAAAGAGAGGTAGATTTTTTATAATTAATAAAATTTATAGTACAAACGTAGCAAAAAAAAATTACAATTGGCACAATTTATAACTACAATTTTAACTTTAGTTTGATTTAGTGATAGTAAGTTAACTAGCATTTCTTGAGTAGTTTCAAACTGGTTCTATAATTTCAGGAATAGTATAGTGCTGGTATAGTTAAGTTTGGGAGTTGAAGTGATTTTTAGTTATAGCTTTAAATTGATTGTCGGACAGGGAACCTTTGCTGGTTCAGGCAATGAATTATAGATCTTGAGACCCTTCTGTGTATTGTATTATTGCAGTGTGAGGCAGACATGAAGGATGTTGAAGAGTTTTATGTTTTGTGTTATGCCTGTGTGTTCTGTTGTAGTTACGAAGTACAGTTTGAGAGGGGGGTTTATATTGGAGTTTAATGTTGTATAATATTATATATATATATATATATATATATATATATATATATATATATATATATAATATATATATATATATAATATATATGTGTGTGTGTGTGTGTGTGTGTGTGTGTGTGTGTGTTTATATATATATAAACACTGATCTCTGACTGAAGGAGACTCGAACCTTGGAACAAGGTACGCAGTGCATTACCATTCTCACCACACTGGACAATACCTTGGCGTCCAGCTTGCGCTAGACGTTAATCCAAGGCAGCCAGCTTTCAGTGAGAAGGATTACAGCTTTTCATCTAATGCCCTGTATGCATCAGCCTTACTAGAGATTTTAACAATGCAAGGAATTCGCAAGAGCAGGCGAAATATACACAAACACTGATCTCTGGCTGAAGGAGACTCGAACCTAAGAACCTTGGAACAAGGTACGCAGTGCATTACCATTCTCACCACACTGACGACTCTATGACTGAAGAAATACTTCCTAACATCCCTATGGCTCTTCTGAGACAGCTTCCAGTTGCGACCACTTGTTTCTGTGTCCCCTCTCTGTCTACCTTATCTATTACACGCAGTATTTTGTATGTCGTTTCATGTCTCCCCTGACCCGCCTGTCGTCCGATGTCGTCAGTGCGATTTCTCTCAACCTTTCTTCGTAGGACATACCCCTGAGCTCCGGAACTAGCCTTGTTGCAAACCTTTGCACTTTCTCTAATTTCTTGACGTGTTTGACCAGGTGTGGGTTCCAAATTGGAGCTTCATACTCCAGTATGGGCCTGACGTACAGTGTACAGTGTCTTGAACGATTCCTTACGAAGGTATCGGAACGCTAATCTCAGGTTTGCCAGGCGCCCATATGCTGCAGCAGATCTGTGTCTCCGGAGACATGCTCGGTGTTATGGTCACCCCAAGATCTTTCTCCTTGAGCGAGGTTTGCAGTCTTTGGCCACCTAGCCTATACTCTGTCTGCGGTCTTCTTTGCCCTTCTCCGATCTTCATGACTTTGCACTTGGCGGGGTTAAATTCAAGAAGCCAGTTGCTTGACCAGGTGTCCAGTCTGTCCAGGTCTCTTTGTAGTCCTGCCTGATCCTCATCTGATTTAATTCTCCTCATTAACTTCACATCATCTGCGAACAGAGACACTTCTGAGTCTATCCTTCCATCATATCATTCACACATACCAGAAATAGCACTGGTCCTAGGACCGACCCCTGTGGGACCCCGCTCGTCACAGGTGCCCACTGTGATACCTCATCGTTGTTGCCTCCCTGTCAGGTATTCTCTGATCCATTGCAGCGCCCTTCCTGTTATACGCACCTGATCCTCTAGTTTCTGCACTAGTCTCTTGTGAGGAACTGTGTCGAAGGCCTTCTTGCAGTCCAAGAAAATGCTATCAACCCACCCCCTCTCTCGTGTCGCACTTCTGTAACTTTGTCATAGAACTCCAGAAGGTTTGTGACACAGGATTTGCCTTCCATGAATCCGTTCTGGTTTTCGTTTATAATCTTGTTCCGTTCCAGGTGCTCCACCACTCTCCTCCTGATAATCTTCTCCATGACTTTGCATACTATACACGTCAGTGACACAGGTCTATAGTTTAGTGCCTCTTTTCTGTCTCCTTTTTTAAGAATGGGAACTACCTCAGGTAGTTGCCCAGTTTCAAGGGATGTGTTGAAGATTGTGGTTAATGGCACACACAGTATATCTGCTCCCTCCCTGAGGACCCACGAGGAGATGTTGTCCGGTCCCATTGCCTTTGAGGTATCAAGGTCACTTAGTAGCTTCTTCACCTCCTCCTCAGTTGTGTGTATATCATCCAGCACCTGTTGGTGTATTCCTTGTTGGTGTCCCCCTCTGTCCTGTCTTCCCAGAGTCCTTCCTGTCTCCACTGTGAATACTTCCTTAAATCTCCTATTGAGCTCCTCGCATACCTCTTGATCGTTTGTGTGTGTGTGTGTGTGTGTGTGTGTGTGTGTGTGTGTGTGTGTGTGTGTGGTGTGTGTGTGTGTGTGTGTGTGCGCGTGTGTGTGTGTGTGTGTGTGTGTGTGTGTGTGTGTGTGTGTGTGTGTGTGTGTGAGTGCGTGTGTGTGTGAGTGCGTGTGTGTGTGAGTGCATGTGTGTGCGAGTGCGTGTGTGTGCGAGTGCGTGTGTGTGCGAGTGCGTGTGTGTGTGTGTGGGGGGTATCAGGAACCTCATATAATGGACCAAGTTCCCAATAACCAATGCTTAAATAAAACGAATTTTTTGTTTCAAGGGAGACCCCTTTCCCTTACTATGTTTTACGGAAGCTTCACTATATACAATATGTACTTAGTGACGCACCTTGTGTATGGCGAGCAGTGCTGTCACCAGTTGTGACGACGGTGTCATACATACTGCCACCACACGGTCACCGTCAGGGTTGTAACACTCAGTGTTAACCAAGCGCTTCAGTATACATCTAAGGAGGACAAAAATATTATTATTATTATTATTATTATTATTATTATTATTATTATCATCATCATCATCAACCACAATATAAATACAACAAACATTCAATTTAAAGAACTTCAGAAATGCAGGACAAAGTCCGCTGACTACAGTGTCAAATGCATGATGAATGCTTCCAGACAGAAAACTTTTGAGATACACAGAATATCTTGAAGACGATGCCAACTGTTTTAGATACATTTTTTAATGTACTGGATGTGGTTGTTGAATTTCAAGTTGCTGTCTGAGGAACAGACGTAGGAATTTTCCTTCATTTTGTTTAGCAATGCGAGAACTGTTAATCACACGTTTAATTATACAATTGTTGTTCTGTTCCCATCACTTAGAAGGTTTTGTCAATGTTAAGCGTGAGTTTATTGGTAGTTTATTTCTAGTTTATTGGTAGTTTACTGGTAGTTTATTGGTAGTCATCAATGTTGATGATGTCTGTGGAAATTTTTTATAATATTCCTGAATTTAGAGTACAAAAAATTAAATAATATAATAAATGATCATTAATGTGTGGTGTTGGTTTGACTTGCGAGAAATTTCGAGTGTGGGGGGAAGGGGGGTGAACCAGGGAACTGCGTATAGAGAGACAATAGAAAGGCGGAATAACATCTGTTTTATTTAAGTGTTGATAAAACTGTGTGTCTTCGACACCGAAAATGTGTGTATCGCCGAAAATGAAGAACTATTATGCTTTTAACTGCGTAACGTAAATGAAAATCCTGGCTCCTGTGGGTAGACAAACTGCCTAGTCTAAGGGTATTTAAATTATTCAACAAAACCAACCTAGAGCCAGCTTGTACCTTCACATTAAGTCTTAATTAAATTGACAGTATTAAATTTATTACAGGAAGGACACAAAAACACACCCATAGAAATATATATATATATAATATATATATATATATATATATATAATATATATATATATATATATATATATATATATATATATATATATATATTAATAACAAATTAACATATACAGTATAAAACTTACTTACTCTACATACAAAATTAGGACACTCCAGTTCACCTTTACTCACTGACATTAGCTCACTAGCACACTGCTACTTGTGAGTAAAAACAATAACATTTATTCTAACTCCACAAGATTTTGAAGAGGCATTAATGAGATGGCGGAGCACTCTGCCCCGGACCCAGACTTGTGGAACTCAGTGTTCAAGAATTGAAAGAAGTCCCTATCGCATGCCTTCAGCATTTTATAGAGGGAGCATGGACACTGGGAGTCATCCCACAGTTACTAAAAACAACAGACATATCCCCACTCCACCAAGGTGGCAGTAAAGCAATAGCAAAAAACTACAGACTGATACCACTAACATCCCATATCATAAAAATCTTTGAGAGGGTTCTAAGAAGCAAAATAGCCAACCACCTAGCTACCCATCAATTACACAACCCAGGGCAACACGGGTTTAGAGCAGGTCGCTCCTTTCTGTCCCAGCTACTGGACCACTATGACAAGGTCCAGGATGCTGTAGAGGATGAACAAAATACAGATGTAGTATACACAGACTTTACAAAAGCTATCGGCAAGTGTGACCATGGTGTAATAGCACACAAAATGCGGGATAAAGGAATAACGGGAAAAGTTAGTAGATGGATCTACAACTTCCTGACAAATAGAACACAAAGAGTAATAGTAAACAGAATAAAGTCCCAGGCAGCCATGGTAAAAAGCTCTGTTCCACAAGGCACAGTACTCGCTCCCATTCTATTCCTCATCATCATTTCTGACATAGACAGAGATGTAAGCCATAGCTCCGTGTCTTCCTTAGTGGATGACACCCGGATTACCATGATAGTGACCTCCATCGAAGACACTGTGAGATTCCAAATCTTCGAATGGGCCACTAAAAACAATATGAAGTTCAATGAGGAGAAATTTCAACTACTCACATACGGAAAACTTGAAGAAATTAAAAATGTGCCAGGGTATACCACAAGTTCTAACCATACAGTAGAGCAGAAAAGTAAGGTGAAGGACCTGGGAGTGATAATATCAGAGGATCTCACCTTCAAAGACCACAACAATGTATCTACCTCATCTGCTAGGAAAATGATAGGATGGATAATGAGGACCTTCAAAACTAGGGACGCCACGCCCATGATGATTCTCTTCAAATCGCTTGTGCTCTCTGGGCTGGAATACTGCTGTACACTAACGGCCCCCTTCAAGGCTGGCGACATTGCAGACCTGGAGGGTGTACAAAGAACTTACACGGTGCACATAAGTGCGATAAGGCACCTAAAGTACTGGGAACGGTTGAAGGTCCTTGATCTGTATTCCCTCGAACGCAGGCGAGAGAGACACATGATAATATACACTTGGAAGGTCCTGGAGGGATTGGTACCAAACCTGCACACGAAAATCACTACATGAAAGCAAAACACTCGGCAGATGAAACATTTCCCCGATGAAAAGCAGGGGCGCCACGAGTACACTGAGAGACAACACAATAAGTGTCCAGGGCCCAAGACTGCTTAATTGCCTCCCAGCATACATAAGGGGGATTACCAATAGACCCCTGGCCGTCTTCAAGAAGGCACTGGACAGGCATCTAAAGTCAGTACCTGACCAACCGGGCTGTAGTTCGTACGTCAGCTTATGTGCGGCCAGCAGGAACAGCCTGGTTGATCAGACCCTTATCCACCATTAGGCCTCGTCTCAGACCGGGCCGCGGGGGCGTTGACCCCCAAAACCCTCTCCAGGTAAACTCCAGGGAGGCTCCATGACCTCCCCCTAACCCTTCTGCCAGCCTCTAAAGTCTGCAGGTAACCTACTACACAAGTACTCTCCCAAAACTGAAACAGGCCTCACCTCATACTATGGCCTTACAGATAAACATGAGAGCACCAAAAACCAATCAAATAACCTATGGTCTAAATTCCCCAAAATCACCCTCAGCTTCTTACACTAGAAAATGTACAGAGAACTTTCACGGCGCGCATAACGGAGATAAAACACCTCAATTACTGGGAGCGCTTGAGGTTCCTAAACCTGTATTCCCTGGAACGCAGGAGGGAGAGATACATGATTATATACACCTGGAAAATCCTAGAGGGACTAGTACCGAACTTGCACACGAAAATCACTCACTACGAAAGCAAAAGACTTGGCAGACGATGCACCATCCCCCCAATGAAAAGCAGGGGTGTCACTAGCACGTTAAGAGACCATACAATAAGTGTCAGGGGCCCGAGACTGTTCAACTGCCTCCCAGCACACATAAGGGGGATTACCAACAGAGCCCTGGCAGTCTTCAAGCTGGCACTGGACAAGCACCTAAAGTCAGTTCCTGATCAGCCCGGCTGTGGCTCGTACGTTGGTTTGCGTGCAGCCAGCAGCAACAGCCTGGTTGATCAGGCTCTGATCCACCAGGAGGCCTGGTTACAGACCGGGCCGCGGGGGCGTTGACCCCCGGAACTCTCTCCAGGCAAACTCCAGGTAATAAGGACAAAGAAATAATTAAACATATGGGTTGCTCTAAATGGTTAAATTAACTAGAAAACAGCTGTAATATAGCTGGGATGGTGGAAAATAAGGAGATGCTGACTCGTCTGAGTAGCACAACATGTGTCTACCGGGAGTCTACCTGGAAGGAATTCCGAGGATCAACGCCCCCGCGGCCCCGTCCACGACCAGGCCTCCAGGTGGATCAGGGCCTGATCAACGAGGCTGTTAGTGCTGGCTGCATGCAGTCCAGCTGAGCTCAGTGGCGTGGGTCACTGACTGCTGACTCAGCTCAGCGAGTGGTGTCAACACAAGCAGCATCACTAGTGTGAGAAGCAGACGTGATGGAGCTCCGGTGATGTCCTCCCCAAGTTCCTTGCTCATCCCCACTGTCTGAAGTCAGCCATGAGCCAGTACACTGTGGTCAATGGTCACGTGAGGTCATCCTGTCCTAAGCTGTCTGAGAATTAGCGTGGGGTGTTACCAAGCACCATGGCTTGTTGTAGTGTTTTAGAATCTCAGGTTAAAATGTTGAAGAAGGTGGATCTACTTCTTCAGGAGGAAAATAGGAGGCTGAAGCTTCTCCTAGATGGGTTTAGTTGTGAGTGAGATGATTGGAGCTGGTGAGAAGGAAAAGGATCCCAGCATTGAATGGGAAAGTAGCAGCTGCTTTAAGTGGCAAGTGGTTCACAATTCAAGAAGAAGGAAGATAAGGAAGGTTAAGAGAGAAGATGTGAAGGAAGGAAATCGATTCTCTGTTCTTCAGGACGAGTGTACTTCAGTGGTTAGTGAGGTTAAAGGTACCACTTACTACCCTGCTAATCAAAAATATTCTGATTGTGGGAGACTCTCAAGTAATATATATGGCCCGTGCTTTTTGTAACAGAGATAGGAAGGTCAGACATATGGTATGCCTCCCAGGAGCTGGTGTGGGGTGACATAGTCAGCAGGTTGGATAATATTATGTCAGGTAATGGGAACAAGCCCATTATCTGTTTCAGTGCTGGTGGAAATGACGTCGGAAAGAGGAGGGGACAGGAGCTGCTGGATAAGTACAGGTCAGCCACAGAAGTAGTCTGGTCTAAGTGAGGGATCCCAGTCATATGTAGCATCTTGCCTAGAAAGGGAGTGAGCAATGAATGGATGTCTAGGGCAATTGGTATAAATTCCTGGCTAGACAGGTACTGCGAGGAACTTGCAATCCCATTCAATGATAACTGGGACAAAATCTATGGCAAACATGATATGTATGCAAGGGATGGGGTTCATCTCTCTGGGGCTGGAGTGGCTGCATTAACCAATTCAATTGGGGGGGGGGGTCGTTGATGACCTGTCTAGGACTTTAAACTGATAGATTATAGAGGTATGGGTGTTTGTGGGAAACAATCAGGCTGCAGGACTAGGGTTGAAAACAGCAGATATTACCAGGATACCTCAGGGATATGTTTAAAAGACAATATTCAAAATGAAGTTGTTAGTAA